GGTGAAAGAGAATGGAGACAGAATGGCTGGGCGGCGGCAAACTGGACAACGCGGGCGAAGGGGACAGTTTCCCAGAAGCACACGAGCTGCTCACCCCGACTCGGAAGGAGCCTCGGAAGGAAACGGAAAGCCTCAGTGGACTCGTAACAAGAGAAGACGCAGAATCAGTGATCGGATACCATGCAGCCCCCCCCCCCAAGGGCTGGACAAGATGGCTTCACTGACACTCAGAGAAGGGCTGACACCCAACTGTCGGAGCTCCTCCTAAAGATGGAGCAGGCCCACAAACACCTGTGGGGCTAACTAAAGTGGGAGAAAAGTGAGGCTGTGTACCCTCGCCATGACTTACAACTTATTGGGCTGCCAGCTGCAGGGTCAGCAGTTCGAGACCACCAGTCACTTCCGGGGAAAGAGAGAAGGCTTTCTATTCCCCAAAAGAGCTCCAGTGTGGAAACCCACGGGGGCAGTTCTACCCGGTCCTGGAGGGTCGCGGTGAATCAGAATGGACTCCGTGGCCATGAGTTTGGTTTTTGGCTTGGAATGTCCAACACCCTGGGAAATCCACAGGGGCAGTTCTACCCTGTCCTGGTGTGTGTGTGTGTGTGTGTGTGTCCACTTGGCATCACCATGGTGGCAGTGGGTCTGAGTCGTTCCCATGTGGTAGCACTGTTCTGAGCATGCAGTGTGTGGCATTAGCTCAATGGGTTCTCATCACCCAGGTAACTGTTGCTGGGCCCCCGCTCCCACCCTCACCCCCATTAAAGAGGAGGAGGGCTGCTGGGTGGTGCAGTGGTGAGCTCAAGGCGGAAGCTGAAGTCTGCCTGGAGGCACTCGACAAAAAAGATGCCAATGATCCCATTCCATCCCAAACCCCATGGGGGTGCAGTTGCACTCTGACCCACGGGGGTCACCACATGCCCAGGGGAGCTGGACCGGGTCCACCCGCCAGACCTGCCCTCTTTCACTCCCCAGGCCCCCCGGAAGGGCCAGGCCCAGGCTGGGGCTCCAGGAGAGGGAGGCTGGGCAGCCCAGCCCCTTCCGCCCTCTGGCTTTCAGTCCTCCTGGCTGCTGGCCAAGCTTGGTGAGCAAGACACAGGGTGTGGCCCAGGGAGCGTGGGCCTGGGCCCTCACCCCCTCAGCCCCCGCTCAGTACCCTCTGCCCACAGAGAAGACCCCAGGGGCTGGGCCTCAGGGGCGGGGAAGGAAGGCAGCCAAGGTCAGGGAAGAAGGAATGAGCCAATTCCAGGCAACCTATACGCTGACACTTCACCCCGGGCCATGTAGCGGGGAGGGTGGCGGGGAGTTTGGTTTGGGCTTGGAGGGCAGGTGGAGGAATGAGTTACACATCGGGCTGCTCCCCACAAGGCCAGCAGTTCGAAACCACCAGCTACTCTGAGGGAGAAAGACCGGACTTTCTACTCCCATAAACAGTTACCGTCTCGGAAACCCACAGGGGCAGTTTGCCCTTGTCCTGTAGGGCCATCATGAGTCGGATGGCTGGGTGGC